GTTCTGCATCCCGAGTCCTTTTGTTGACGGTCCCGAGGGCCGGTCAGGGCCCCTCAGATGCCCAAAAAAGGCGGAAACCTACCCGCCATGATTTGTTTCCATGACCCGAGGGGGTCTGGGCTGGGAGGCCTATAGGGACAACCCGAGGAGGAGAAGGAGGAGGAGGAGGTGGAGGAGGAGCTCCTTCTTCCTCCTCCGAGTGGCGGTGACCCCCTCGGCGCTGCCCGAGGCGGAGCTGCAGCGTAGGGTCAGGTCGGGCATGTCCCCCTACAGGCGGATTTTGAAAGTCAAATTAAATATAACAAAAAGAAGTTGACAAGAAGAGACGCAATTAGTCAAAAGATCGTCTCAAGACCATGTGTTGACTCTTTTAGTAAAACAAAAAAAAACCGTCGATTTTGACTGCTTTGACTACTGTGTCGGTGGCACGCAAACATGGATTTGGCGCGCGGTCGTCAACTCCATGGATCGGGGGGAGGTGCCCTCCCCAAAATGCGGCCAGTGCCGCCTCGCTCGGCGGCGGAAATCCGCGGTTCCCCTGGAAACGGGACCCGTCCCTGATCCACGCCCCCCTGCTCCATGTCTGCGATCGCCGGACACTGTAGCGGGACGGGCCCGAACTCAGCGTGGCGGAGCTGCCCGAGGGCCGCGAGTTGGCTCAGTCGGCCGGCCGGGGGACCCTGCGCGGGTTCTTGGGGCAGCCGCCGCCCTCGAGCCTCGGCCAGCGCGGGGCTGGGGCCGCCGCCGCCGGCCGCGGCCCCTGCCCTCCCGTGCCCTCCCTCCCCCCTCGCTTCCCTTCCTCTCCACCCCCCTCCCTCCCCTTCCCCTTCCCCAGACCTCCAGCGCATGGAAAACATCTAGACGGAGGTTTTTTTTCCACTTTCGGCTTCTAGCGGCCCTCGCTAGAGGCCCCAAGACCTTCAAAAACCGACTCAGGATGAAAAACCGGTCCTGGGGAATGGGTCGAGACTTCCGTGGACCCCGTCTGGAAAAAATCGCGACGTCGGAGCTCTGGGTCCCAGACCCCCTCGGGTCATGAAAAAAGACCACGGCGGGAAGTGCTTCGCCATCTTCGGCCTCTGGGGGCCCTCACTGGCCCTCGGGGCCCAGGGACGTAATGAAATAAGAAGAGGCGCCATGAAATCTGGGGAAATATCATGGCCCACGCCATGATATTCACCCCCCCTAGTCATCACCCCCCTCTTTTCCGCTCCCGAAAAAAACGGCCCAGAACGAAAAACCGCTCCCCGGGGATGGGGTCGAGACCGTTGGCACAATGGACAAAATCATGACGTCGGGAGTCTGGGCCCCCTCTCCCCCGCCCCCCTCCCCTCCCTCCCGCTCCCTCCCCACCCCTCGAGGAAGAGGAGGAGGAGGAGAGGAGGAAGAGGAGGAGGAGGAGGAGGAGGAGGAGGAGGAGGAGGAGGAGGGATGGATAGATGGAGGGAGGGAGGGAGGGAGGGAGGGAGCCCTCTCCCACACCTCCTTCCTCGCCCCCCTCCTTGAGCCTCCTCCTCCTCCTCCCCGTCCTGCGAGCTCGGCTGCCGCACCGGCAGCCGTCACTCCAGCTCGCAAGGCGGAGAGACAACTCTTGTGAGGCGCACGCCTTTGCAGCCTGCCACGAATGGGGACTGGTCGAACCCAGATCTCTTAGACACAGCTGCGACGAACGCACTGGCCTCACGCTTGCTTTGAACCCAAAATCGGAATGCAAATGCAGATGGCATTAAGACGTAAAACCTTCGCAAGGCTGCGCGTATGAATGCCGTCCACGACTGACGCGAAAACCAAGCAACTGTTGCACACCAAGTCAACGACCTTGTTATATTCGCGTCCCCTCCAGCCATGTGCGTGTTAAATTGAAATGTCAGCTTTCTGTCTGAATGCATTTCGAAGACCCAAAACAGTAATTACGTCATATGTCATACATTAATTGGACACGGGAATCGCATCTCGGATTTGCAACGTTGGCTTCCAGATTGTTCAGGTCAGTGCAATTCCTGTTCTCCACAACGAACTCGCGCTGAGGCTCAACATAACTAATAATGCAGCCACAACAAGTCCCACAGCAGCCTCATTGGCACCATAATGTCAACCAAGCGCGCCACATCATCGTTTTGCTTCGGACAGGGTGTAGAACAGGCTGGAATATCTGGCATTCCCCAGCTCGGGGCATGCATCCAGGACGAAGTCTCTCCTGCTCGCTTTCGAAACTCTGTACCCTTGTGAACTTCTTCGGCCCGGGCTGCCATCCCAGGCCCCGAATACAGACTCAGAAGGCGGTGTGAGCGACGTGCTCTTGATGCCACGGGAGCCAATACAGAACATCGCTGCTGCGCCGTCGCTTCTTAACGCTGCCGTGCTTCGCCAATTCCTGCCATGCGGCATGGCTGGGTTTGAGCTGTTACGTGATGCGACGGGCAACCCCCGTGCGCACACCCCGCATCCAGAAAAAGGAGGAGGAGAAAAGGAGGAGGAGGAGGAGTAGGAGGAGGAGAAATGGAAGGAATTGGAGAGGGGGCGCAGGAAGAGAGAGCAGCGCAGAGCCTCTGGCAAAGATTTCGCATCCCAGTGCATCGCTGGGCACAAACAGAGCGCAACAGGGAGAGAGAGAGAGAGAGAGGAGAGTAGCACTCAGATTGAGTCATCGTGGAGGCTGCTGCTGCCGAGCGTCGGAAGGAGTGCCCCACCGATCTCGTGACAAAGCTCGTGTTCAGAGCAATTCAATATGAGCGACGATCAGAAACAGGTCTTACACGAGATGACGTAGCCTTACGCGGTGGCTTACGCGGGCCGCCGGCGCGGCACGCTATATTGGAAGCGCGGGCGCTTACGCGCGAGCTTACGCGGGCAGCTTCGGGGATCTTCTGACCCGGGTCAATCCAGACCCGGGTCAGCAGGAAACCAAAAACTGCAATGCAGGAAAAAAAAAATGCAGCGCAGGTCTTCGCAAACACGGGTCAACCAATATGCGCGGCCGCCTCGCGGCCACGAGCGGCTCCCTGACCCGGGTCAGCCAGAGGGGGTCTTCGCAGGATCCTGCAGGATCCGGTGCCCAGGCTGACCCCCGTCTGCACTGACCCCCGTCTCGAGGCTCCCGACAGCTTACGCGCCACTGCCGGCGCAGACAACCCCGCTTTTTGCGTCGCCCATATTGAGAGCGAGGCAACCTGAACAAAGTGGCCATGGTAGGTTCGTGCGGCGTCGGCGCGCGCAAAAGTTTTCACACCGCGTCGATCGTTCAACCTTGAATCGATGACGGCCCCGATCGTTCAAGCTTGACTTCCGTCGGCTCCTGCGGCGTCACCGTGCCCCTCAGTGCTTCCGCGTCGTTGCATCATGCGGAGTTCCATCTTGAACGCCTTCGCTGGCGTCGCCAGCGCGCCATCGCCGCATGAAGCTACCATAAGCAACCAGTGGAGAAATGAGCGCCAGGTCTGCTCCTCCGCCTCGTTCCGTGACACCGCCTTACACGCCGGTCGGAAGAACTAGGTAGAAACATGAAGTAGGAAGGCGGACCAAGTACATAGATTGGGCTCAGGCCCTCCCAAAGAACAACAGAACACAGCAGAAGCAGACCGGTTCTTGAAGCAGGAAGGAGGCAGGCGCTTGAAGTAGATTGGCATTTGGGGATCTAAGAATACCTAGTTTCAACAACCTGCGTGTACACCCCGACGAAGCATGCGGAGGAGGGCTGCCGCCGCGGCCGTCCGTCGCCGCGGCCGGCCCGCCGCGGGCCGGCGTGCCCCTCGCCGCCGAGGAGGGGCGGCGCCGAGCCCGCGGCAGGTGCTCCCGCCAGTCGGCGTCCTCGGTGCCCGGCAGCTCCACCGCGCACAGCGGGCACTCCACGGGGGGGGGCGGGCGGTGGGGCGGCAGGACCTCCGGCAGGACCCGCCGTTTGTGCGATGGCAACCAGATGTGTCTGTCGATGTTTAACTACATGTGCCGCTGGTTGCACAGGTGCACTTCGTGTGCTGGGCCACAGGCGTTGGCACGCGGATTCCTGCAGAGGCGGATGCTGCAGCATGCTTTCAAATGGGAGGCCATGCGATCAGAGGACCTCGTTGGATCGATCGTCGGGTCATGGGAATCGGATCGGATCGAGCCGGCTGGAATCGATATCGGTTCGGGTCGGTTGGATCAAACTGGACCCTGTGGTGAGGATCCATGCACGCACGACTGGTGGTACAGTGTGCACACCATCCCGTCCGAAGTCCTTTTTCTCATCAGTCAACAGTAGCATGTCAAGAACGGATGTCGGCCGTTGTGCGCACTTGAACCCCATGGTGATCGTCTCGTGTGTGTTTCGAAATGCGCATCGCACCGTGTTGCAAAACGAAGTCTTAATGACAACTTGTCGCCCTCATCCATCCAGCTGGTGAAAGATGGGCACTCTGTGCGCGGCGCAAGGGAAAAAAAAACACGCAATCGAAAATTAACCGCCCCGTTTGTCTATGGAGCTGCCGAAGCGCCCATAGCTAAAGCAATACGGGTATCAGTCCAAGGAAGCGTGATGATAGTCAGGGGATGCAAGCCCATGCTCAAGAAAATCTCTGAAGGTGATACGCATGCAGCATCTGATGCATGGGAAGTCGTGGGGACGAACCTAGCGCACGAAGACGCCCGAATTTCGGGTTGGGGTGGACGTACGACTTCCACATGTGTTCTTCAACGTGTTTTCTTGCGACGCACGCGCGCTGGGCGGTCGTGGCGCCGCGCGGCGGCGCCCAACGCCTTGGGAGGCGGTGCCCAGCTCAAGCGAGTGCACCTGATTGGAAGGGGGGGGAGGGGCCGCCACGCGCGACCCGCACACGAGAGTGCAGGACCGCGCGTGCGACGGGCAGCTGCCGCCGCAGGCGTTCCATGCTCCCCGACGCCCCCCCCCCCCCGCTGGGAATGCAGGGCAAACTCTGGCCCTTTGGTCGCGTCGGGGTGGTTTTGAGGGGGGCGGCATGGCCAGGCTTCGGCAGGAGGCCGTCCTCCGTCGTCGCAGCGGGGGCGGTCCAGTCCTTGCACGCTCGGCCGACGACTCCGTGGGCCGTGCGTCCCGTGGGCGCCGTGGGCACAGGCATTCGGCGGCGAGCGAGGGGGGGGGAGGGGAATGAGGAGGGGCGGGTCGGCTCGGAAGGCTCGGAAGGCTCCCAGCCTTCCGCCAAGTTTTCTGAGCCTTCCCCGAAGGCACAGAGCACCTCTCCCAAGGCGCGAGGGCTTCTGAGAAGCCCCGCCCCTTAGAAGGCCCTCGCCTTTGCCGCCGCGCCGTCGAGGCATGTTCCCCGAGCAGTGCTCGTAATCAGGGACTGACTTTTTATCCGTCCCCCGCACAGCGCTTGCGCTTGGGGGTCTTACGCAGCTTGATCGGGAATGTCCTGGGCGTGGCGAGGCTTCCCGTTGTGGGCGGCCCTGGGCGCCCCGTAGGCGCTCGGTGCACTGGTGGCCGAGGTGCCGAGGTGTCGCCTGGCAGGGCGGCCGTGTGCGCCGTCGTGGGCGCCCCCCGTGCGCCGTGAGGGCGTGCCGAGGCCTCGCGCTGTGGGCGGCCTCGTGGGCGCCTCGTGGGCGCCCCGTGCGCTGGGCCGGCGTGCCGAGTTGTCGCCTGGTGGGCGGCCTTGGGCGCCTCGTGGGCGCCCCGTGCGCTGGGCGGGAATGCCGGAGTCTCGCCCGGCGGGCGGCCTCTTGGGCGCCTCGTCGGCGCCCCGTGCCGGGGTTGCGGCACAGAGCTGGCGCCGTGCCTGGTGATTATGGCGGCCGTGGGCGCCACATAGCTTACGCCATACAGCTTCGTCCACGCAGCTTGCACCACATACTTCGCACCGCTTGGTCTGCACCACATCTGCTACCCCACACACCACATGCCGTACGCCACGTGAGTTGCACCAGGTAGCTCGCACCACATAGCTTGAATCCCGTAGTTTCCAGCACATCGCTTGCACCACACAGCTCACACTGCATAGAGCGCACCGCATACATTGTGCCACCTCGCTGATGCATCCACAAACCAAAATTGTTGGCGTCCACGCTGTCACTGGACAGGCACATTCCACTCCTCGCAAATCACTTAGTCGCAAATTGCCTGGATACGTCGCGGGGGATGCACGATATATTACATCGAGGAACACCTGTATATTTCTGACCTTTGCTAATAAGCACTCTGCGAGTCGTGGAACGCGCTCGGCGAGGCACACATGCTGATCAATACTTGAATATTTGCAAAGGTCTGAATGGTGTTCGCCTGGTGCCAGGCTGATGGGCGGTCGTCGGCACCTCGCGGGCGCCGCGGGCGCCGGGCGAGCCCGCTGGGGCTTCGACTCGTGCTCGGTTGGTGGCCAGCCGTGAGCGCCTCGTGGGGTGCCCCTGTGCGCTGGGCGGCTCCGCCGAGGCTGCGCCGGGTGCCCGAGGTGGTTGCTGGTCGTGGGCTCCTCGTGGGCGCCCCGTGTGCTGGGTGGGCCCTGCGGGGTATCGCCAGGCAAGCATGTGACAGGTTATGGGAACTGTAACGCTCTCGAGCGAGAACGCGCGAGGCGCCTGCGACCACGGAGAATCAGAGCAAGAGAACGGAGGACAAACACGAAAACGACGGGAGAGGAAATTGGCAAGATCAGCTATGAAACTAGGGGTGCGCAAAGCGCGACCGAAAGGCAGTCCGCAGAACTCGCAGAGATGATGATGGCGCGACTGCAGAAATATGCAAGGAAGGAAACATTGCCAAATTCCAATGTAACGCAGGGGTGTCCTGAGCGATCACCTGATTTTGAAAATGCGGGACCCTCCATCGATGCAGATGTTTGACCATTTGAGGACACTGATGTGCGCGGGTATACAACACGATGATGCATTGCACTGTGGAAGTGCTAGGTACGTTATGTAAGCTATGTGGTGCAAGTTGTGATGTTCAGGTTTTGCGGTGTGCGCTGTGTGCTACACCCTACGCTATACAATCTAAGTGGTTCTAGGCATGTTGTTCACGATATGTTGTGTGCGATATGGATTGTAACCTGGATTGTGTGAACAGACGTCACAGGGTGCAAGCTATGCTGCGCAATGTCTGCAGTGTGAACTATCCAGTGCAAGCCAAACCGTGCAAGCTATGTGGTGAAAGCTAAACAGGGTGATATACGTATGTGCGCACGTATATGTTGAAAGCTACGCGGTGTAACGTATGTGGCGTGGGCTATGTGGTGTGAGGTGTGCGGTATAAGCTATGTGGTGCAAGCTGTCTTGTGCAAACTATGCGGCGTAAGCTGCGTTGTGTGGGCCAGGGGGCGGCCACGAGGCGACCACGGGCTGCGATGCGGAGCCCGCTCGATATACAAAGCGATCCACGCGGCGCAAAGTAGAGGCGGACACTGTGTATGTAGGTTGACGACCGAAAAATCGAACCTACAAGGACTGCCGTAGGTAAAGGAAGGTAAGGGGGAGGGTGGCAATCCCTTTTCCAATGCGCCGCGGGCAGGCGGCGCTGTACCTGTCTCCAGTACCTGAGCCGAGACGGCAGCAGTAGATATGGATATAATGACGATATGAGCTGACTTCACACACAGGCAGGGGCGGCAACGTGGCGAAACGTCGCTGGACCCACCCAGCGCAGGAGGCGGCCACGAAGCGGCCACGGGTGATCGAGGCTGCCACTGCGCGGCCACGGGCCACAGCGTGGCGAAGCCTCGCCCGACACACCCAGCGCACGAGGCGGGAGCCGGCGGCACTGCGGAAACTCCTCGACACACGCAGCCGATTCCCTAGTAATATGCAAAGTATTGCACTGGGAATGTGCGTGCTATGTGGTGCAAGCCATGTGGTGTAAGCTACTCCGTGCAACAGCCATGTGGTGTACGCTCTACGTGGTGTGGGGGATGTGTGGTGCAAGCTGGGAAGAGCTGCAAGCAGGACGGTGCAGGCTGCGTGATGTAGACTTCGTGGTGCAGTCTCCGTGGCGCACGATGTGCGGTGCACGCTGTGCGGTGCAAGATCTGCGATGCAGGCTACTCTGGGCGGCCACGGGTGGCCACTGCTCGGCCACAGCCGGCCGCGGGGCTGCCACGGGGCCGCGCGGCCACGCAGCGGCCACCAACAAAATCTTCGTGCTGCCCGCCCAGAGCCCCACTGCACAAATAAGAGCCCCGAAGTGCAAGCACTGCTGGGGGGAAGAAAGGTAGCAAGCTCGATCCATCCGCCCGCCCGCTGAACTTATTCGAGACACACGCGCGTGGCGCTGGGGTGAAGACATCTTCTTTCCAGAAGCGGTCCGTCACCAATCCTTGCAAACGCTTGTGGACTTGTTGAAACACACGTGCGACGCGCGATGACGCGAGCCAGATCATCGGAACGAGCCACCCTCCATATGCTAGGCCGTTTGGAAGATCAAGCTTTCTGGCCATACATTGTGACTAACACTCGAGCGGAACGCCCTGACATTCCTGCCGACCCGTCTGGTGGTGCAGCCAGGAAGAACTGTGTACAGGGAACAGGGGCGGAGAGGAAACGGAGAAGGGGAACGAGGGTGGGGAGGCAGGAGGGAAACGACGAGGGAAAAGGGCATGAGGAAAGAAACGAGCGAAACAGGAACGGAGGAGGCGGAAGAGGGACCAGGGCAACGGTGGAAAGGAAGAGACTCCCAACACCCTTCTCTCGCTGGACACCGGCAAGACCCGGCAAGGGCATACCGTGCCCCATGCCCGGGTTGTCCCAGGGCCAACTTCACCCTCAAATGACGATAGTATTGACAGCAAGCAACAGAACGGTCTGGATCCTGCGAGCCGGTCGTGGCCTCCGCCCTGGCGCGCGCCTTCTCCTCCTTCTCGCACTCCTCAGGCGAGGGGGGGGGCCAGGAGGGATGGAAGGAAGAGGGGCGTGGGGAAGAAAGGGAAGGGGGGAGGACGAGGAGGATGAGAAAGAGGACAAAAATGAGCAGCAGGAGATGAGGGATGGGGATGATGAGGGGCTGAACTTGGAGAAATGGACGATACTGTACGAAATCACTACGATGCTTCGAATCTACCTTGCCTCACCGCCACGATGGAGGAGGACGCCGGGCAGGCGATGATTTGGAGGATGTGGGAAGGAAGGAGAACAGGAGAAACAGAGGCATGGTGAGCAGCATGGGCAAGAACAGCTAGATGAGGGACCTCGCCGACCCAAAGAGTGCTTCCCCTTATCGCACTAGAACACATCAGTTGCGTCAGCAAGACAGCAATCACATATATACTTGCGCAGACCATTTCTATCAACGCTCGTGCACCCGAAATCCATATCTTTGGGAAACAACGCATGCTTTAGCTGGAACGGTTAATGCTAACCATGTAGAGCAGTTCGAGCATGATCACTCACCGACGCCAGAGTGAATTCGACCGACGAGGTTCGCAATATAACGCGGCCTTTCCCACAAAGTGAGTCCGCCTACGATGGGGCCAGCAGCTCTTGGTCCAGTGCTACCGACTGTTCCTGAGTTGCCTGCTGTTGGAGTTGCCAGCGAGATTGCGAATCACTGTGATGTGTCTCGTAGGTGCTCGGCCCAACCCTTTTGTCGTTCCAACGCGCCCTTCGGAAGAAGTGTGCATGGGTGTTTAGTCGGGCGAGGTGGGCCCTGTTGGCTTGACCCGATCCGCGCGGGGTTGGGTGGCTCAATGGAATTCGCGACTGCGTTCGCAAAGTTGGCGTTCGAATTTACGTCGTTAACCCAACCTTGACCGCAAGGCTCCGAGAAGACATGGCCATCGAATACATGTATAAACCGATTCCATATCCTCGCACACATGGTCCACGGAAGAGTGCTTGCAGTCCGTGGAACATAAGGCCCTAGCAGCCAACACCGATCGATCCTGAAGCGCTGCCCTGCTGCAACGATGGTTGTCTTCGACCTCACAAGCGTTTCGTACTGCGAAGTCGCGGAAAGCTTCGTTCCATACGGCGGAGTTGCATCTTGCGGCGGACGCTGTCCAATACTGTTGCCAGTAGGGTTGCAACGCCGATCCTTTCGCCTTTCAAACGTCCAGACGAGTCTCGGGCCCACCAGCTCAGAAACATAGAGCTGCTCGCGAGCAGTTCCACTTGTAAGTAGCGCTTGGAGAACTCAATGTATCTGCATCTTAGCTAGAGGCCCGCCTCCAAACATAGATTCAACCTCACACACCCTGGTCTTGACACTCAAATCCAATGATATAAACTCGTACACCCTTAACTTGGTCGGCATGTCGGAAAAATAGCAGTCAGCATACTGATTGTTCTTTTCCTCCTCAAGGCCCTCGCCTGCCAATACATTTTCCTTCCCATTCAAATTACCACTCCCTTTCCCTTACTCCTTCCCATCCGCCCCATACACAAGCCACACCCTGTCTCCATCATCTTATTCCGCCCTCTTCTCTCCATCCTCTTCCCGTTTTTTCGGGCCCTTCCCCTTCCCGGCTCAGATTCCCGATGAGCTCCTCACACCAGTGGGAGTGGAGCGTGGAGATCTCGATGACCTGGGCAGAGCGGGACGCACTCCCAAGAAACAGAACGGGGGCGAGTAGGAGCCAGTGAACGGGAAGAGGGGGAGGAGGGGGATGAGGGGAAGGAGGAGGAGGAGGAGGAGGAGGAGGAGGAGGAGGAGGAGGAGGAGGAGGAGGAGGAGGAGGAAGAGGAGGAGGAGGAGGGAAACAGACGAGGAGGAAGAGGACAACAGGCCAACGAAACCACCGTCCACCACATCCCTGCACGACGGACACCATGAAGACAGGGCACACGGTGAGCGGTGAAGCCGGCGGAACCGACGTGAACCCAAGCGTTGGCCATCCTTGCGTGCAGGCTGGCATCGGGAGGGGAAAAAACACACAGACACAATTAATCGCCGATTCCTCAGAAAATGTGGGAAAATATGGGAAGTGTGGGGGAAGACAAAAACCCAGAAAATATCGGAAAATATGGGGAAGATTTTTATTTGTGTGTATTTATTTGTGTCCAGGGGCCCCTTCATAGCAACTCTCTCGTTACCACGCACTGGGAGCAGATCCGGGCAGGTCACTCGGGATCCATACCACCATATTCTGGGCCACCAGGCTTCGCCCGACTGGGGGTCCCGACAGGAGCGGCAAGGGATGCCAGATGAGCGGAGCATCCTCCCCCTCCTTCTCGACCCCGCCTTCTATCACAACGCTGCCTCCAGCGCAAGACTTGTGAGGGCGAGGGACTCTGAGGAGAAGGCTGGACGAAAGGAGTCAACCCAAGATGCACCCACGATGCTGCAATACACCCTCCCGTCCCAAGTCTCGACCTCACAAGTTCTCACGCACTTGCATTTCACTACGAGCAGCGTCGCCTTGAAATACCAGCACGTACCCTATGGGCCTGCTGTTGAGGCGAGGGCCCCGTTTGTGAGCGGCGCTGAAGCGAAGATTATATTTTAAAGACCCCCCATCCATCATCCGTGTAGCCGCTGCAGATTTCAAGTTTCAAATCTGCAAGTGGACGGCAAGACAGTATTCGGCGGAATGCCCAGCCTGCCCTGCCGACGCGTCTGAGGACGTGACACGGAGAAGTTCTATGAAAGGGAAAGGGATGTAAGGGTCTCCTGGGTGAGCGGCTCCAGATAGGCCCAATGAATTGCTCGCCAGCTGCTAGTATACCGACCCATACTGGAGTGAACGCTTCGCAGACGTACTTAATGCGGGATGACGATTAGTTAAAAAATGGGAGAGAACGATCAAAACATAGTTTTCTGCTATTTCTGCACAGTTTTCTGACTGGAGGAGAACGATTAAAAAACATAGTTTTCCAGCCCGTGGCCGGGTTTTTCTAATCGTCATCCCGGGCGCCGCCGCGTGAACACGACCCCCGGTCATTTATTAATCGTCATCCTCCATTAAGGCAAACACCACCATCGCCCACGTGATGGTGGCGCACGCCGGATCCCTCCCCGCCCCAGATCGAGGACGCATGGAAGTCCTGGACCACATGGCACCGCGGCCCCAGAGCATGGACCGAGGCCCACTGCAAGGATTTCCTCATCAGCGCCTATGGCGCCGGCCTCCAAGACAGTGCAAGAGGGCCCCGCGTCGCCGAATAGTCGCTCCAAGACGCTCACGAGGGCCCCCAGACGGCCCAAGAGGCCTCCAAGACGCCCCAAGAGGCCTCCAAGAGCCTCTCAAGAGGGTCCCAAGATGCCAAATCGATAAATCTTCATGTGGTTTTTGAAGGATTTGGGCGTTCTCGTATTTTCTGTTTTTCGACGCTCCAAGACGGACGGCCCAAGAGGCGCCCAAGACGGCCCCAAAAGACTCTTGGGCGCCTAGTGGGCAATCTTGGAGCGATCTCGGGGGCCTCTGCGGCCGTCTCGAGCGCTCTGGAGACCGAGAAGCCGAGCGTGCGAAAATGGCATCGAAAGGCAAGGATAATTCATAATTTTCGCCTCCGGGGGCCTCTTGGGAGTCGTCTTCCCCTGGGCCCTCTGGGCCGTCGAGTGGCCATCTTGGGCCCATCTTGGGCCATCTTGGGCTCATCGTGGCCGTTTGAGGGCGCTCGTCGGGCCCCCTCTGAGGCCTCCTGGAGGTCTCCCTGGCCGTCTTGGGGCCGTCTCGGCGCTGGACCCCCCTCCATGGCGCGCGGACAGCGCCGGGGGCGGCGCTGGAGGCGCGCCGCCGGGGGGGCCCAGCGCGGATCCAAGAAATCCGCGCGGAGCGCCACACGTTTATGCTTATGCCGCTTCTACTTCTTCGATCCTATCCTGTTGGATCTTGCGGGTTGACGCTGACCGACGCCAGCCGACGCTGACTTGCCGCCAGTCGACGCCGGATCGGCGCTTTCCCAGCCACTGCAAGCGCGCGCGCGAGTGCATCCTACGGAGACGGCAGCCCGAGGACAGGCAAGGTCGGGGTCCTGCCCCTCCCTGGCCCCCGGTCGGGGCCCATCCTGGCCCATCTCTCCTCGAGCTGTTGTGTTCGGATGGGGCTGCCTGGACGCCCGGCTGTGCCCTTGATCGGCGGCGAGCGCGGGGGGGGGGAAGCGAGGAGGCGCGGGCCTTCTCGGAGGGCTCGGGGGTCCACCGGCCCTCTGAGAAGCTCGCTGAGCCTCCCCCGAAGACACAGAACACTTCTCAGGAGGCGCGCAGGCTTCTAGGAGGGGGAGGAGGAGGAGGAGGAGGACGAGGAGGAGGAGGAGGAGGAGGAGGAGGAGGAGGAGGAGGAGGAGGGGCTTCCTTTCGATTCAATTACGACCCACGCTTGCTGGACATAGGAGGAGGAGGAGGAGGAGGAGGAGGAGGAGGAGGAGAAGGAGGAGCTGAGAAGTCCCGCCGCCTTCTGAGAAGGCCCTCTCCTTCTCACTTCCTCCCCTCGCTCTCGGCGGCGCGCAGAGGGGGGTATGGGGGAGGGGGGCTGGCTCCTCGGAAGGAGGCCGCTCCTTGGAAGGCGCGCGCCCTTCCATCTATAGACGAGGCCCGCGCCTTCTGAGAAGCAGCCTGCTTCTACAAAAAGCCTTCCCCCCTCCCCCTCCCCCCCTTTGCGCGTGGCCGACGCTTGCCGCCGACTTGACTCGAGCTGAGGCGAGGTCGTTCCCATGAGTTCAAAGGGGCCCCGGGACACACAAATACATAGACACAAATAACAAGATTCCCCATATTTTCCCATATGCTCTGGGTTTTGTCTTCCCCCCCACTTCCCATCTTTTCCCATATTTCTGGGGAATCGATGATTAATTGTGTCTGTGTGTTCTTGTCCCCTCCTGAGAGTTGCCACCGAGACGGGCGCGCGCCCGGCTGTGCAGGGAGCGCCCCCCGCGCGCTCTCTCGAGGCGCCCCGGGAGGCCCAAGGCGTGGGCCAGAGTGTCGGGCCAGCTGCGCGCAGGAGCCGAAGGTCGCCAGAACCCCCATTTCAGCTTGGCTGCCCCGATACGCAACACGCAACACGTAGCGCATTGATGCGGAGCTCAACACGTAGACTGAACGCGTACGTTTTGAACACGGACGTTTTGAACACGGCGCCTGTTGCGTTTCAAGGCGTGCGTATCAGAGCAGCTGAGTCCTTCAGCATAGAGCGCCTTGTCGTGACAGCTGCCGGGGGCACCACACGAGCGCGCGGCAACGCACTCCGAGCGGGCCACGGCGAGCGGGGTGGCTCCTCGACGAACCGAGGCCCGTACTAAGCAGGCGGCTGTGTCCGGCGAGGCGCACGCCGGTCAGCGAAAACGACCGGGGACTGCAACCGCACACTCGGGCCCAGAGCCCCTCGAGTTATCAAACAATCACGACAGGATTGGTAATTATTTTTGGCCTCTGGGGGCCCTTACCGGCCCTCGGGACCGTCAAATAACGACTCAGGACGAAAAGCCGGTCCTGGGGAATGGGTCCAGAATGCTGGGGGTCGACGCCATGGAAAAATCATGACGTCGGGGGTCTGGGGATGCCAATGTCGAGTGAACCGATGCAGGTTTCAGATTTCCTCGAGCGGCTCGTCTTGGTGGGCGCGGGCCAGGTCGTCTGGCCGGCCACACGGAGGAGGAAGGCCCTGGGCACGCGGCTCGCCGAACGGGGCAAGCGAAGCGGCAGTGGGGGCTCTGCGCACTCGGGTTCGTTTCCCCCCCCCCCCCCCGCGCCCACCCCCCCTCCCGAACACCGCGCACCAGAGGTCACTCGGCGAGGGGTGCGCGTGGCCGAAGTAGGCGGGGGTGGTGCGAGCCTGGGCCAAAAAGGCCAGGAGCTAGGGGCGGCTGCCTCGTGTTGCTCACCATCGTTCTCTTCACTACCATCGTGACCGGCGACATGGTCATCATGATTGCGAGGAGTATCATCACTATCATCATCATCATCATCATCATCATCATCATCATCATCATCATCATCATCATCATCATCATCATCATCATCATCATCATCATCATCGCATCAGCATCAGCATCAGCATCATCATCATCATCATCATCATCACCATCATCATCATCATCATCAGCAGCAGCAGCAGCATCAGCATCAGCATCATCATCATCATCAGCAGCATCATTACCATCTCCATCACCATCGCCGTCACGACAATCGTCTTCAGCGCCATCAGAATCATCATCATGATCATCATCGGTATCACCATCGGCGGCCATCTGCAAAATCAATAGCCCTCGTCATCACTGCCATCACCATCAGTAGCAACATCATGATCACTAACACCATCGCTTATCGATGGAGCCACTGGCCCGTCCGCTCCTAGACAACTGGGTCATCCTCATCACCACAATGCTCATCCATGTCGTCTTCCTGTTTCCTCACCCACAACTCCTCCTCCTTCTCCTCCTTGTCCTCCTGCCTTCTTGTGTCTTATAGCAGACCTACAGCCCCAGCCGCATATACGAACCATAGCCACAGCACATGATGGTTAAACGCGTGGGAAGATTGGCACCTCCAAGCTCCCGCTCGCCTCGAGTATTACCCACACGTGCTCTCAATGTGACGCCTGCCAGAAGGCCACTGGGTTGCCCCAGACGAAGGATGAGGAAGAGGAGCACGGTGTAGAGAATGAGTCAGGATCCCACCTTACCCCTCGACCCCGCGAGGTGGGCAGGACAGCCGCGGTCCTCTTAGCGGGGGGGGGCAGGCCGTCAGCTGGCGAAGCTGCGGTGGCCGAAGAAGCAACCGCCGCTTCATTACCAGCGACGGGCAAGAGGAGAAGGAGGAGGAGGAGGAGGAGGAGGAGGAGGAGGAGGAGGAGGAGGAGGAGGATGCCAGTCGGGAACGGCCGCCCGTCGCGCCGCCGCTGGGCCCAAGGGGGGACGGCGGGGGGCGGCCCCCCAGCCTGCTGGCAGAACTCGCACTGGGCGAGCATGGGGCACTCCCTGGGAGCGCGCGCGCGCTCCCGGGTCGGGCCTCGATGTTCCTCCTCCGACCCTCTGGAAGATCATGCTCATATGCGGCTATGCATCATGTTGTCTTCTTAGTATTCGTCGACCCTCCTCTGACCGTTGCCCCTCTCGTAGGAGGGGGGGATCGGGGAGAAGCGAGGCGGATCTGCGTGGTCGTTCTCTCGTGCGCGCACACAGAGCCGGGTCAGCACAAGACCGCGTCGGCCGAGGCCCTGTCTCGAAGCCCGGCCGCCCGCTTAGCAGCTCCCAGACAGGGTCAGCGGAGGGGAGACAGGGTCATGTTGCTCCCATCGTACTTAAGGACCACATCCCAGAAATAATTTCGAGCACCCAGGAAGGTATCGCAACAGCGTCGAGCGAGTATCGCCTCCCAGGGCCCAACGCGTGGAAGCCTTTCAGTTTCGGTACTTTCCTGGTGCTCGAACCTCTTTCTGGTGACCCAGGCTAAAGGAGGTTGGAACATCACAGAGACAGGGGGGGAATCGGCCCCACGTGGCTCCCAAACCTGGGTCCGCCAACGGTTTTTTGTTATGTTGTTTTTTTTCTCCTGGAGTCCTCCGGAGGCCTGACCGTTTGTTCCACAACAGAGATGAAGGGGCCCCAGGACACACAAACAAATACACACAAATAAAAAGATTCCCCATATTTTCCAATATTTTCTGGGTTTTTGTCTTCCCCCCCACTTCCCATATTTTCGCATATTTTCCTGGGAGTCGACGATTCATTATGTCTGTGTGTGTGTTCCCTCCTGAAAGCAAAGAACGGTGCTCGATTGCCCGGCTGGGTCCGCCGGCGGGGGTTGGCTGACCTCCGCTGCGAAGCAGATCGGCATCGGGAGCCGATCGTCTGTGATCGCTGATCGGGCTCGGCCGCTGCAGGTCAAAGGAAACCCTCCCCGCCTCCTCCTCCCCCTCCCCCCTCTCTCCTCCTCCTCCTCCTCCTCCTCCTCCTCCTCCTCCCTCCTCCTCTCCTCTCCCCCTCCTCCCTCCTCCTCCTCCTCCTCCTCCTCCTCCTCCTCCTCCTCCTCCTCCTCCTCCTCCTCCTCCTCCTCCTCCTCCTCCTCCGCCTCCTCCTTCCTCCTCCTCCTCCTCCTCCTCCTCCTCCTCCTCCTCCTCCTCCTCCTCCTCATCCTCCTCCTCCCCTCCTCCCCTCCTCCTCCTCCCTCCTCCTCCTCCCTCCTCCTCCGCCTCCTCCTCCTCCTCCTCCCCCTCCCCCTCCCCCTCCCCCTTCCCACTCCCCTCCCCCTCCCCTCCCCCTGCCTCCCCCTCCCCCTCTCCCCTCCCCCTCCCCCTCCCCCTCCCCCCCCCCTCCCCCGCCCCCTCAGGCCCCTCCCCCTCCCCCTCCCCTCCCCCTCCCTCGCCCATCCCCCCTCCACCTCCTCCCCCCCTCCCCTCCCCTCCACTCCCCCCCTCCTCCTCCTCCTCCTCCTCGCTCCCGCCTCCTCCTCCTCCTCCTCCTCCTCCTCCTCCTCCGCCTCCTCAATCCTGCTCCTCCTCCTCCTCCTCCTCCTGCCTCCTCCTCCCCTCCCTCCTCATCCTCCTCCTCCGCCTCTCCTCCAGCCTCCTCCTCCTCCTCCCTCCTCCTCCTCCTCCTCTCCTCCTCCTCCGCCTCTCCTCCTCCTCCTCCTCCTCCTCCTCCTCCTCCTCCTCCTCCTCCTTCTCCTCCCCATCCCCATCCTCTTCCTTATCCTCCAGCTCCCCCTCCCCCTCCTCAAGCTCCTGGCTCGCGCCGGATCAGATCGGATGGGAGATCGGGGCCGAAGTATGGGAATCAGGCAGGATCGGATCGGAGTGCGAGCAGCGGGGCAAAGCCTGGCTGGTCACGCGTTTATCTTGACATCCGGGCAGAGGGAAGCACAGCCCTCGGGCGCCGACGCGTCAGGCGGCCTTTGAGCAGGGGCCGGCCGTCCCGGCATTCCTATAGGGCCACCGCGCAGATCTCTGAGAACCCGAGGATGTTCTAATCACAGGTCGCTGCGCCACCTCGCGTGAGACCCATTAGTTCTCGCCGCTCAGACGGGGCCAGGGTGGGTGGGGCCGGAGAGTCGCGGCGCACCGCCCCGGGGTGAAAAAGGAGAGTCGCGCCGCACCGCCGACGCATCGGCGGTGCGGCCCGATGTGGAGCACGCTTCTCTCCACGCGGACGTCGCCGATGCGTCGCCGACGTCGCGGGAATCACACAGAACATCCGAGGGCATCCGACAAGCACGAAAAGCAGTAGGGTACCTTCCCCGAGCCGACCTCCATCTGACACCTCGGTCCGACTTTGGTTCGTGAGAGCGTTGGGAAGAATCTCGCGCAAGGGGGTGTGGATGCCCTCATTGCCCTGGGAGTGAATCTTGGCGCTCCCGTAGTCTGCCGTGCCGCTGGCCTCGACGAACCTCGGCACCTCGAAGAGGCTGGCCCCCGTCGCCGCGCCAGACTTTTGTCCACGCCGAGGGAGCTCGTGACAACGCTCTCGAGATTCTCGCTCTCGAGATCGAGGATCCCGAGACCGAGAATCGAGCATCTCGAGCTCGAGGGTCGAGACTGTGAGGGGCAGCGGTACGGTCGGCAACCTTTGCTCAGCGCGGCGCAGCGGCGGCCCCGGCAACACGCTGGGCCCGACGAGCGGATAGCACGTTGCGTTGCGCCGCGGGCCGGGAGGCTCGGACAGGCTCGGGACGCTGAAGCCTGGGGACTGGGAAAGGGATGCCGTGTCGCGTCGAAGCGGGGATCTTCTGACCCGGGTCAATCCAGACCCGGGTCAGCGGGAAACCAAGAACTGCAACGCAGAAAGAAAAAAAACTGCAACGCAGATCTTCGCAAACCCGGGTCAGCCAATATGCGCGGCCGCCTCGCGGCTCGCTAACCCGGGGTGAGCCAGAGGGGGTCTTCGCAGGATCCTGCAGGATCTGGTGCCCTGGCTAACCCCCGTTTGCATTGACCCCCGTCTCAAGGCTCCCGACCGAGGCGTGGTGGGCCAGAACCGGCGGAGCGACACGCTAACAAAAATCTCCTGACGGTAATGTGTGGCTCATGTTTTTGTCATTTCCCTTCGGACGATCGATGTCTACCGTCTCGCTGGCTACGGCGTCAGAGGGGATCTGCAGGACGCCCTCCGTGCCGAAGATGTGCTGCTTCTGGATCGTGGCTTCGATGTCTATCGTGCCGCTTGCCACGAAATCAGAGGGAGCCTGGAAAGTGCCCTCCGTGCCAATGGCATGCTGCTCCTGGCTCGCTGGACTCGACGTCAAAGTGATGGATACCCTTCGCGGCAGTGGTGATCAGCCTCTGGAGCTTGTCGCTCGCCGCCGTCGCCACTTCCAGGGTGGAGAAGACAGGACAGGGTGGAAGAGCGAAGTGCTGTCGGCTCTGGGCTTCCACGTCGTCATCTGCGATGGTTGGGAGGTCCTCGATCCAGTGCACCTCAGCAGCGCCCTCCTCGGGGTGCTGCTCGTCACCGTGCACGGCCCGACCCTGCAAGCGCACGATCTCGAACAGCCCCTCGATGAGCCGCTCACCCAAGATCAGCGGCCCGATGCCGACGGACAGAGGCTGCACAACGCGCGCGCGCCAGCGGCCCGCCACCAGGCACGCCCGCGAGTCACTGCGAGTGACGCGCCAGCAGCCGCGACCATGGCACCGAGATGGAGGAGCCGAAGAGGAGGTCGGGAGCGGCCAAGAGGGGGGTGTCCAAGAGGGGGGGGGTGCAAATCATGACCGGCGGCACGTGCGCGGCCCGGCGGGGGGGCCAGGGACCAGCGTAATTAAACGAGACGAGGCGCCCTGAAATCCGGGGAGATACCATGGCCCCCGCCACGATACCCACCCTTTGGACGCCCGAAATGGGTACGGAAAGAATGGGCACTATACTATGCCCAACAACAAATGTTGTCCCAAGCCAACCGCGGCCGCTGTTGGGCAGGCGGCCTTCTGTCTCGAATGGACACAGGCCGCGGCGGCGTGGACAGCGAGTCCTGTGCAAAATGATCAGGAACTGTTGTTGGGCATTGTACCCATTCTTTCAGTACTCCAGATCTCGTAATAAAAGGGAGGGGGTCTGGACCCTCCAAGACAGGCCATTTCAGACCCCCCCCCCCGTGGGAGAACCCGCCAAAACATCCTCCCCAGACCCCCCCAGGCCCTCCAAGATAGCCTGGAAGAGACCCCCCCCCGAAATGAGAGCCCCCTCCCTTTATTACGAAATCTGGAGTACCCATTTCCCATTTCGGGCGTCCAGACACCCCCCCCCCCCAGTCACCACCCCCCTCTTTGCCGCCCCCGAGAGGAGGGGAGCCCCCACCTCAGGCTCGGCCGGGCTGGTCGGGTCGGGGCAGACCCTGGGCCCCGGGCGCCGCGCAGGGGGCGCCTTCGGCGCGGGGGGGGGGGAGACCCCACAGAGGCCCTGAAGAGCCAGAAGGGCCTGAGCCAGAATGGGTACGTAGGGGGGGGGGAGGGAGGGAGGGAGGGAGAGAGGAAGGGAGGGAGAGAGGGAGGAGGGAGGAGGGAGGAGGGAGGAGGAGGAGGGAGGAGGAGGAGGAGGAGGAGGAGGAGGAGGAGAGGAGGAGAGGAGGAGGAGCAAGAGAAGGAGGGCGAGGGCGCAGAGAGGAGGAGGAGGACGAGGAGGACGAGGGGAGGAGGAGGAGGAGGAGGAGGAGAAGGAGGAGGAGGAAGAGGAGGAGGAGGAAGAGGATGAGGATAAGGGAGAGAAGTAAGAGGAGGAAGAGAAGGAGGAGGAGGAGGAGGAGGAGGAGGAGGGAAGGGAAGACGAGGAGGACGAGGGGGAGCCTCTCATGTCCGCTGGCGCCCAGCTCCCGACGCGGGAGCTCCCGTGGCGCCGGCGCCTCCAGTAGTGGACGTCGATGGTCTCCACCGTGAAGCTCGGGTCGTGCCTGGCCGCAGTGCCGCACGGCAGGGGCGGTGAGCAGGGAGGTGCCAGTCGAGGGCTCAAAGGACCTCTGAAGGGGCCCTGGGACACACAAATAAATACACACAAATAAAAGGATTGCCAATATTTTCCCATGTTTTCTGGGTTTTCGTCTTCCCTCCCACTTCCCATATTTTCCCATATTTTCCTGGGAGTGGACGATGAATTGTGTCTGTGTGTTTTCCCCTCCTGAACCTCTGCCGTCCCTGGACAGGTGCTGGAGCCTCCACGATGTGTCCCAGACTCATCTGGACACCTCTAACGTACCACCTCGGCGTCGTCTGGGCCTGCGGTCCGCGACGACTTGCCTACTATATCACATTGCTTTCGCTCGCTTGGTCCCCGCGAGTCGATCGGAGAAGAGTCGTCAAGCACTCAGGCGGGCACCCCTGGGATCCCCTGGGGGCAACTCGGGCGCCGAACGGGGCACCGCGCAACGCTGGCGGCGCGTGCGTCGTCCGCACGATGCGCCGCGGCAAAAGAGGTGTCAAGGGAGCCATGATTGATTTGCCGAAGCTGCTGCTCCTCCTCCTCCTCCTCCTCCTCCTCCTCCTCCTCCTCCTCGTCCTCCCTCTCCTCCTACCCCTCCTGCTCCTCCTCCTCCTCCTCCTCCTCCTCCACCTCCTCCTCCTCCTCCACCTCCTTATCCTCCACGCTCCTCACTTCCTGCTCCCTACACGTCCTCCCTCCACCCTTCCTCCCCTCCCTCCTCCTGCTCCCAGCTCCTCCGCTTCCTGCTGCTCCCCCCTCCTTCTCCTCCACCCACCACCTCCTCCTCCGCCAATCACCCTGCTCGCCTCTTGCTCCTGGCCACCACGCAGCGACAGCCGGTGGCGGTCGATGCCCAGTGGGCAAAACACGCCAGCAGCTACAAGGCTTGGGCCAGCTCTCGTGCGAGGGGGCATACCGTGGCAGCACGGACTCCTCCTCCTCCTCCTCCTCCTCCTCCTCCTCCTCCTGCTGCTCCTGCTGCTCCTGCTGCTCCTCCTCCTCCTCCTCCTCCTCCTCCTCCTCCTCCTCCTCCTCCTCCTCCTCTTCCTCCTCCTCCTCCCCCTCGTGGCAGCAGGAATTGTCTGTGCCCCATGGCGCAGCAAGAGCGGAACACCGTCAGCTACACTGCAGCTGGGTCCAGCTAGTGCGGTGAGGCAGGCAAAAAGGCAGCACTGACTGCCAATGCGCCTCCTCGTCCTTCTCCTCCGCCCTCCTCCTCCTCCTCCTCCTCCTCCTCCTCCTCCTCCTCCTCCTCCTCCTCCTCCTCCTCCCTCCCACTCCTCTCGATGCTCTCAATCCCCGTCCTCCTCCGCCGCGCCCTCGGGCCCGCGCCAACCGGCGCCCAGGCCCGGGCCGCCGCCTGCCGCAGAACTGGCAGGTGGACTCGTCCGCCTCGTCGTCGCTGTACTCGAAGGTCTGGGCGCCGTCGCGTGGCGGGGCCGCCCCGGGAGTGGTGCGAGCGAGGAGCCCAGACCCCCTCGAGTTCTGAAACAAATCGAGACGGACGCGGCCCAAGAGGGCCCCGAGAAGGCCCAAGAGACCCCGACGACGGCCAACGATGGTCCCAGGCATGATGAGGGCCGGGGGGAGCAGGAGAGGGGGGAGTCAGAGACGAGGAGGAGGGCCGCCTCCTCCATTCCCCTCCCTCCTCCCCGTCCTCATCACCCTCGTCCTCGTCCGCCTCCCTCCTCCTCCTCCTGCTCCTCCTCCTCTTCCTCCTCCTCTTCCCCTCCCTCCCTACCTCCCTCACTCCTCCTCCTCGTTCTCCTCCTCCTCCTCCTCCTCCTCCTCCTCCTCTTCCTCCTCCTCTTCCTCCTCCTCCTCCTCCTCCTCCTCCTCCTCCTGCTCCTCCTCCTTCCCCTCCTTCTCCTCCCCCTTCTCCCCCTCGCCCCCCCCCCGCCCCGCCCCCCGCCCCACCCGGGCGGCCGGCCTGCGTGGTCCCCCCGCCGACGGAACTGGGGTTGTCGCCGCGCGTCGGCGGCTTGCTTGGCGGCGGCAGCCCCGGCACGGCGCCTCTCGCAAGCGCGGGCTCAGGGGGGGGGGGGGGGGGGAGGGCGCCGCGGGGCGGTGGAGGGCCGAGGAGCGAGGAGGGAGGAGGCGGAGGAGGGAACGGAGAGAAGGAGGGGGAGGAGGAAGAGGAGGATGAGGAGGGGGCGGATTGGGTTGAGGAGGGAAGGACGAGGAGGAGGAGATGGAAGAAGATGAGGATGAAGAAGCGGACGCGGTTGAGGATGAGGGTGGTCTGGCATGGCATGGGTTTGCTCTGAAAGCGGTGCGACAAAACTAGCCCCCAAAGAGGGATCCCTCGTCAGAAGTGGAATCCTCCTCGGGGGCTTCGGCCGCGCGCTGGATCTCTCGGCGACCCAGCTCGCACACCGCAACAGAATCTGCAGCCTCCAGACCGAAGACTCGGAGGACGACGTCCCGACCCCCAGCCCCCGCCCCACCCCGCGCCGAACGGGCGCGGGCGGGGGCCTTGGCTGAGAGGTCGGCCTTTATCGCCTGGCTGGCTACGTAGGCTGGCTCGAACATCAGGCATCGCCCCGTGTGGGCGGTCCAGCTTGAGGTGCTTGACCCCCACTCTGCAGTGGGGGAACTCACCCTTCAAAATCCTCCGAAGCTGGTCTAGGGCGCCTTTCCCCGCGTGACCAGGGCAGCTCGCTAAGATGGCAAGCGTCGTCCTCCCCTCGGAGCAGACCGCCCTACAGCGGCAGCAGGAAAGGAGGAAACGCACTCTAGGATTCGCCCCCTGGACAGCGCACCTGCAGGGGCAGGTGCGCCCGCCAGCGGAAGCTCGCACGAGAGAGCTCCTCCCACCCCGACCCCGCCCCCGACTCCGCCCCCAGACCCTCTCCGCCCCCGGGCGGCTCCTGATCTGGAGCAGCATCGGCCGCAGGCGTGGCACTCTCTGGCCGCTCGGCCGCTCGCGCCAGCGCATACCGATCCGCGAGGCTGTCGTGGTCGCGGCCGCCTGCTTCTACGTGCGCCTCGGCAAGCAGGCCTGGAGCACGCCTAACTTCGGAGGCGACTCCCAGACGGCCTGTGCCCACACGTACACGACCTGGCCGACGGCCGAGGGCTGGTCGTCGTACCCCTCGGCACCCGGCCTGAGCTGACTGGCGCACCTAGACGAAGCCCCTTGCATCTGAGATGGCGGGGTCCCCGTGATGCTGGACCCCCACAGGGCCGAGGCCGCTGGGCCCGCGCGCTGGACCCAAACAGCGCCTGCCCCAGCGCGTCGAAGACGCTGAAGCCTGCTCGACCTCCTCCGCGCCCCTTCCCACCTCGCCCTGGTGACGCCGACCCTCTGACTGGCCCCGAGCGAAGCATCGGTCCCCAGGTTCCTCGATGAGGTGACGCGGGCACTTGGGGGAATGTCCCAAGCCTGCTGCATCTTCGCATTAAGCTCGACGCTGCTGCGCAGGTACTTCGACCTGGCTGAAACTGGCAGCCCGAGCTGCTTGAAACTGGCCAACAGCGACATCGCGCCTCCAGCCAGCTGGCCCACGACCACGTCGGCGGGGGGGCGACGATCTGCAACGCGACGTCGTCAGTCACGCTGCGGATAGCCAACTGCGGGCGCCCAAACTGGGCAACATACATAGGGCTCAAGAGCAAGAGCCTCGACAAAGTAACTGCTGCTGAACATCCTGCTATAACTCCTCCGTTTGCCGTGACCTTCCCTGATGCACATCCTCCACATATCAACACTCTTTCCGCAACGTACATCGTGCACAACCCTCGCAAAGGGCGCAAATTGAAACGGTGCCCCACCGCTGCTCGATACAGGTCCACATGTGTGATGTGCTCGTAGAATTTCTTCAGATCGAGCAGTACTGTCGCCGTCGACGCGCCTACGCTGCGGCCAAAATGAGCAAGCACGTTATGCATCCAACGGGAGCCTGGCCCGCTCCCGTTCCCCCTCTCTTCGGGGCCGGCACCCCAGAAGAAAAATGAAAAACAACAAAAGAACGCTCGATGCTCCACCCCCCACCGCTCGCAGAGGCGCCGACGGCGCTTCGACCAAATCTTCATGAAGAAACTCAAGAGGCCTATCGGCCTGACACCCCCCCCATCTGGCTCATCCAGGAAGGTAATGTTGGTCAGCAGGTCCGATAGGACAGCGGGGGCCTCCTCGAACCCATGCAGTATATCCAACACACGCCCCTGGCAGGCCTCTGGCAACTTCAAAACGAGCCTCGGATGGAGCACGCCCCGCCCCAAACCGGCCCCCTCGGCATACCTGCACTTGGGCGTGATGAGCTGGAGCAGGAGGGACGAGGAGGACGGTGGGACTGGGCAAATGGGCGTGGAAGAAGCCCAGCAGAACGGTGCCGTCCGAACTCCTTGGCATGATGAGCGCCGCCACCACGCTGGTCCTACATGAGAGCTCTCCAGAAGCGTTCTCCTGGCATTGGAAATTTACGGCGTGGGGGCCTCCCGGGTAGTCCTGCTCAGCTGCGCCCATCGGCCGGAAGTGGGCTGGGACGCGAAGCAGGACAGCATTGGAAGTATACATATATGTATATATTGGGCTTCCGCCGGCCCCACGAAGTGCAGAGAAGAGGGACAGCCGTTCGATTCTTGAACTCGGAGGGCGCCTGAAGTAGACTGGGATCTGGGAATCCAGAATTACCTACTTTCAGCAACACAAGAAAAAGGTGTCACGTCGCAGATTTATCAGCTGCAGCGACCCCAAACTCGCAGGCATCAGCGCGCGGGAATCCAGCGGAAGTGCTGCAGTGCTGTAGCACTGGAGCGAGGTAGCAACGCGGCTCTCTAGCACTCTCGCACCGCAGCGACACAGGGCGCTCCGACAGCAGCGCGGAGGACCAGCACGTGTAGCACTGCTGCGCTGTAACACCGACGCGCTGCGGGGGCGCAGGACTCTTCTGCAGCAGCGCGGTGAACCCACCACTGTAGCGCTCCAGCTCTGCACCTGGTGCCTCTGGAGCGTCCCCCACGAGCTCTCCGCGGGCCCTCGGGAACTCGCCAAGTCGCTGCCTGCCACCCTCTCCGAAGGCCTCAACTCTGCATCCCGCGCAAGTGGTGGGGCTCCGTGGCGGCCCCTCTCCAGGGAGCTCCCCATGGGGCTCCCCGGGAGCCTCCCGGGTGGCCCTCTGGGCCTCTCAGGGGCCCCCCACGGCCCCGCATGAGCCTCGCAGGAGCCTCCTCCCACCCTCTGACTGAACTCACTGCACGCCTCCGTGTGCCCCCCCCCCCCCGCATCCCTTCCCCCCCGCTTCTCCATGCCGCCCCTGCTGCTATCTTGCTGTCTCCGCTGTGCACGCTTGTCCTGTCTCGTGCTGCGTTTCCACTGGACTTGTCACTATCTGGTGCCCGCGCAGAACAAGTCAGTATCTAAAGTGTTCTGCCAGTTGCAGCGCCGCACCTTGCTGACAGGCTATCGGCTTCAACAGCGTCGCAATCCAAATAATCCCCTCCCATTCCTCCTGTTCCCCCCCCTTCCTCCTCACCCTCCTCCCCTCCCCTCCTCTGCCCCCGTCCTCTCCTCTCCGCCGATGACGACGACAAGGAGCTCGACGACGAGCTCGACGACGACCACAGCGGCCTCGACCGCGAGCCCGACACGCCGACGACGACGAGCGCGACGACGCCGAGCTCGGCGGCCACGGGCTCGACGACGAAGCCCACGAGCTCGACGGCGACGACGCCGCCGACGACGACGACGTGGCGGCCCGCGGCCCGCGGCGACGACCCGGCGGCGCCTGCGGAGCCCCTGCGTGCCGAGGCGGCGGCCGGGGTGAGGGCGGCGTGGTCGCGCCCGGCCGCCTCGAACTCCGCGTCGAAGACCTGCCGGGGGGGAGGTCGGGGAGGCGTGCGGCGCGGGCTCGGCAGGAGGAGGAGGAAGAGCAGGAGGAGGCGAGAGGAGGAGGAGGAGGGGGAGGCGGAGGAGGAGGCGGAGGAGGAGGCGGAGGAGGAGAAGGAGGAGGAGGAGGAGGCAGAGGAGGAGGAGGAGGAGGAGGAGGAGGAGCAGGAGGAGGAGGAGGAGGAGGAGGAGGAGGAGGAGGAAAGGGCGAAGAAGGAGGAGGAACAAGAGGCGGAGGCGGAGGAGGAGGAGGAGGAGGAGGAAGAGGAGGGAACGCTCACCAGGGGGGGAGGCGGACCAGCAGCAACAGCAGCGAGGAGAGAGAAAGTCCCAGTCCCCACCCCACGGCCTCTGCAGCTACATCTGGAACAGGAGGGCCAGGGCCCGCAGTCAGCAGCTGTCTGACCAGCATTGCCTTCTTTGCAATAGCACGGGCCCTGGCCTCCATTAGCACAAAAACCTGAGCGCTCGAAATCCCCCCGTTGCTCCTCAAAACATTAAAGGACGAGAGCAGGAGATCCGAAGCAACACCGAGGGACAGCAGCTGGGCACGATTGGAGACACAGGCGCGATGGAGGAGCAGGCGGGCGAGAGAGGGGATCTCAAATAGGCAGGCAGACAGGCTAGGCAACAGGCGAGAGAGAGCATCAAGAGCTACAGGGCATTCATAATAGTGCCTCACATCATCTCCCCCCACAGCTTACACCCGAACATGCACGTGAGAGCACCTCCTCCGTTGTGGCGAAACCTGCGGGTAGTGCACCATCCGTTGCATATCCCTCGGAGCTGGGAGACAACAGTGAAGAAGGGGAGCTCGGCGCTGAGGGTAAGTAAGCTCAGGAAACATCTGTCAGCGTTGGCGGGAGAACATTCAGGATCAAAGTACTGAAGCCGAGGAAGAAGGAGGGCAGCAGCAGACGGCACACCGATTTTCGCATGCAGCATCTTGAATACCTTCATTTGAAGGTCGACGGCTTGCCTGTCATATAGGCACCGATGGATTTGCTCAAGCTCATCCTGAACAGAACACAGGCGTTGAAAGATGCTCTGATCCATCCAGGAACGACGGCGAGGAAGGAGGACACGCCCGTCATCTTCCAGTGCGCGATCCCGCTCCCCTCGGGCAAGATACAGTTGTGGGCTACGCACGGCAACTCGATATGCAGCTGTTTTGCACTCCAGCTCGAGGTGCCTTGGCTCGATCGGGGCTCCGATGGCCTTCAAATTCTGAAGCAACTTGGGCGGCGTGGCATGCCTGGGGCCATTCGCCAGGGACTGGCGGGCCTCGTGGACCACTCGGAGAGCAGCTTTGGGGGGGTGAAGGAACTGACCAACAAGCGATCGTGTAGAAAAAACCGACAATATTGTAGGCTGCCAAGCTCGGGAGAAGCCCCATCTTCAAACTCTTGATGTGGCAGATTCTCTTTTTTGAGCTCGCTGATCGGATGCGCCCAAGAAGCCTCCGCACTTCCCATCCCCAGGAATATCCCAAGATATCTAGCAGCCCCGACGAACTGGAAATTGGTCTCCTCCACCCCCCTATCTTGCAACTTCCGAGCGACGCCCTCCTTCCCCTCGACGCCGAAGTAGACGACATAGGTTTTGCGCGTGTTGACAATGAGCCCCGCCCCCCTCTTGACGAGCCCAAACTCTGACATCGCGACTGGCATGCCCTCGAAGAAGTGCCTGCTGGATGGCCCGAGGTCGTCGGGAAAGACCCCGAGCCTGCAGCAATGTTGCCTGAGCTGGAACTTCACCCCCCTAATAACCGGATCGAAACACAGGGCCCAGATCAGCCCAGAAAGCGGGCCACCTTGCTTTACCCCGCGGCAACATCTAATACCTTGCCCCTGGTCTCCTTGAAAACCTCGAAAGGAAACTTGCATACCAATATCACGGTACAACTCTTGAATGGCCCAGATGATACATGGAGGGGGTTCCATCGCTCGCAGTGCTCGAAAAATCCAAGTGTGCGCCAAGGACGGGAAGGCACTGACGATGTCAAAGAAGGCATGGGCCGCTTCTGGCTCGCCATACACAGACACCCAGCGAAGCATCGCGGCCTCGAGCTCGATGATGTTCTCTGCAAGCTGGCGTCCTCCTACAAAGCCACGCTGGCTGAAGTCAACTGATCTGGCGGCAATGGGCGCGAGATGCCATCCGATCATTTTGCTGATGATTTTGTTGTCAGTGTTGCTCAGGGCGGTAGATCTCGTAGTTGCTGGTTGCCTAGAAATCGCATAGTGGCCCTCGCGCTCTGTGCCTTTGGGCAGAAAGACACTCAAAGCAATGTTGAACTGGCGCGGGAGAGTCTCTCCCCTCAGCAGCGCTTCGTACAGCTCGTTGAGGGCCTCGTGCATCACCCCTCCCCCCTTCCAGCCAAACCGAGTAGGGACAGCCCGTCAGGGCCAACAGCTGAGTCCTTCAGAGTTTCGGGAAGAATAACAAAACTGCAGCACGGCATGTTGGCCACGGGGTTCGGAATGGCCTTGTCCACAAACGGGAATAAGCATGTCAATCACCTCCTCCTCCACCTCCACCTCCGAGAACACAGTCTGCCAGTGGGCCCGCAAAGCACCGACACCTTCCGACGGGTTGATAATGGGCATCCCTCGGGGATCTCGAATCTGCGCCAACTCAATTTTCCTCGACTTCGGGGACCACCCAACTTGTCTTTTACGAAGAGCCTCGGCTCGGGCTTGCTTCTTAGCAGGGGGGCCAGGGGAGTCGTGATGTTCTTGCATAAGCTGGGCAATATGCTCGCGGTTCAGACGATTCATCAGCTCCTGAAAGCCATCAAAGTCGGAGAACTGGCCAGCTCCGAGATCAACAAATCTAGATAGGTCAGGAAATCCGCGACAGGCCTTTGAAAGTACTTTGCCATCCCCTCGCCGAACAGCTCTCTGCACGGCAAGCATCCAGGACAAATTCTGGATGGGAGACTCGGGATATGCACCTGCTAGATCGGCCAGCACGGCCTGCTTCGCGGCGAAGGCAACCGACTTACCTTCAGCGATTTTGACCTTCGGGTCGTCATGGAAATCCAGAGAAGCCGCAATGGCCTCAACATGTCAAGGAAAACTCAGATGTTTGGCGACCCAGGACGGCACCCTCCCCAGGGATCCATTCGCCGAGGGAGTAAGCCCCAAATAGACAGGAATATGGTCGCTGCAGTTGCCGACACCGAAGACACTCCCATGCACACCTGTGGTAGGATGGAGGTCGAGCAAGGTGGACGTATCGGCATTCACGTAAATGCGACCCAGGCGAGCAACTGATTCGGGTGTCCCGTTACGGTTGCGCACGTGGGTGGGCCATTCCTGCTCGACCTCCGCGAGCGTCGGAAACTTGGCTTGGAAGAAACTGCCCAGATGGTAGCAGCTGGGCAAATTCTCTCCAGCCCGCCTTCCATCCAGATGCTGCCTCGACTCTCCTGGCGCGTAAAAACTGAAACCACCTCCAAACAGGGTTAGAGCAAGACGCGGCCCGCGAACAAGATGGGCACCTTCAGACAGAACAGCTTCTTTTTTTTTTCCTGAAGCACACGAAGATCAGGGTCGATATGGGCATTAATAATCTGTCGGCAACCGAGAGGACCAGAGAGGAGAACGGAGTGGAGCCTTCCTGCCTGATGCACGCTGTGGCGGGCGAAACGAAATAGCTGATGTAAAGAGTCCTGAATAATGATCGCACATCCACCAGCCTGCGCTGACGAACAGTAGGTGGAGTACACGCGATGTTGAGGAAGAGACAGACGGAGCGTTTCATCGTCCCCAGGAGTCCCGTGCGTTCCCTGCAGAAGTAGAATCGAATGCCTGGCGGAAAGGTAGTCAACTTTGTTTCTGTTTCCGACGCTGGACCCCAGGAGAACCCGATATATCGCCGTGGAGACCACGAGAATTCGAACTGCAAATGCGCAGGTGCTGCGTCGGAAAGAAGGCACGAAGCGGTGCCCTCTCTGGGCTTGAGCTCCCACTCGAACTGGATGAGGTGGAAGACGAAGAGGAGGAAGAACGAGCAGAGGAGGAGGACAAGGAGGAACTGCTGGAAAAGAGCCTGCCTGCCCGCACAAGGCTAGTGTTTCCTGCAGCCTGTGGCCGCTGGGGTGGAGAAGCAATGCCTTGAGACGCGAAGAGAGAAGAGATCATTGGCCTGCTGCACTGCAGGCAAGTGTCCTGCTGCGTGGCTGCGGTTGTGATCTCGGTGGCCTTGGCGCTGGAGATGCCCCACTCCAGCAGGTTGCCGTCGCTCGTCACCTGGGGCCTCCTGCAGCGTGAACAAATCCCAGACGTCGTCGACGCTGGTGACAAAGAGAATCCCCTTAAAACCATTGGTCCTGAGCTTGTGCGAGCACATCGGCCAGCGCGGGTGCGCCTTCAGGATCTGAAGGACAGGCTCCCACAAGCGGCCGAGCGTGTTCTGCTTCTTCCTCACGTCGAGCGTCTGGTCTGGTCGAGCCCGCACGAGCTTGATTGTACCTGTCCGTGCGTCCTTCCACGTCATGACCTCGTCGTTGTCTCTGGTGTTGGAAATGAAGTCCCTGGCATGCACCTCTGAGGAGAAGACCACAGAGCACGCGCACTGAAGGTTGTAGAAGCGGGCGGTGGCCTCCTCATGCACAGCCTGTGGGACGATCTGCTTGACCTTGTTCCAATGAGCCTCGGACTGGGCGCCCATCATATTCGTCGGGAACCCTCCAACGCAAACCTTGCACGGATCGTGAGGACGATCGAGCGGCGGAGCGGATGCAGCCCTGCGCGCCCTCTTTTGGGCGCTCCCGCCATCAGAAAGCATCCCCGCCCAGAAACAGGCAGAACCGAGGCTGGCGGTGCTCATGGTACTTGCGCTGTCCATCTTCTGCTGGAGTGCTCTGAGCTCCTGCTGCACCTGCTCGAAGAACTTGGCGTGGCGGTCGACCGTCTCCGTCAACGTGTCCATCCTACGCACGAGGTCGGCCAGGCTCGCGACAGTGGTGCTCATCCTA